AACCCCGTTAAACTCATAAACATGTCAGAAAACACAAAAAGTACATCTATTTAGCTTGTATCCTGACATTGGGGTCTATTCTGTAACAATTCCTTTATATTTAACGGCCCTTAAAAATATTGGCAGCCTATAAAAATATGTTCGTATTCGTTAATTTACTTCTGTCATTATTTAAACAGATTTCTTTAAGACAGTCCTCTAATGTATTTTAAAGATCCGTTTAAATAATTACAGAAGTAAAGAAGAAAATATTTTTAAAGGCCATTAAATATAAAGGAATTGTTACAGAATAGACCCCTATATGGGGTCTATTCTGCAACACATCCGTTAAAATTTAGGAGGCCTTTAAAAATTTAACTTTTAGCGGTCCATTAATTTTTTAACCAAAAATGGTATTCTGTATGCACAAATTTTGGAAGCCTGTTAAAAATTATTTATTTTAACCTTAGATTTTAACGGATTCCCTTAAAAATGACAGGAGAAAAAATCGCATTTGAGATTCATTTGAACTAATTTTGAAGGATTAGAAGAATAAATTTGAAAACGTAAACATACAAACCCTCAATTTTCAATTCAAAACCAAAACATACCTACATACATCCAAAATAAAAAATGTCTCGCTCACCAATAACTACTAAAAACCAAAAAGAGTTGATAATAAACTTCATAACAGCAAAATTTGCTTCACGGTGGGAAAATAAACTCAATATATGCTGCGTTTGAGAATCCACATCGGATGCATCTGAGATGTAAAAAATCTTTGATCACATGATTCAGTATACGCAAATGTAATGGGACAGATGTGTCCGATGTGGATAAAAAAACGCTCGAGATGTAAAAAATGCATCCGATGTGGATTCTCAAACGCGGCACTAGATACAACGAAATTGGTTCTATAATATTAACTATATATCTTTAAAAACCGAAAAATATTTTTAAAATGTACATTTGGCAACTGAAATGGATCGCTCAAGTTCCTAATTGACCTCTGATGTAATGAAAATTCGGTTCTGAAATATAAAATTTATTAGATGTACCTATATTATAAATGTGATGTATTTTCTATACCTTTCATTTTCCAATCCATCTTCAATCAAAATTTCTCCAATTATGCCATAAAACACCATTATTATCGGTTCTGTTAAAAATTAAAGGTGAATTTTAACATCCCTTTAAAAATGATAATTATTAGAGGACTATTTTAAAGGAATCCGTTTAAATAATGACAGAAGTAGGTTAGTGAATACGAAAATATTTTTAAAGGCCCGTCAATATTTTAACGGCTGTTAAAATATAAAGGAATCGTTACAGAATAGACCCAGTCAGTTTTGGTGAGAATAAATTCAATTTTTTAAAACAGCTTCATTTAATTGATTTAGGATCGATTTCACCGTTGTGTTAAACGAAGTTTAAAATGACATTTTTACATTAACAATGTCATTTTAATCTCCTAGTATGAGAGCACACTGCAAATTTCGACCGTCATCTGATAACGAAATGAAATATGCTCCAAAAGCATGTAACAACATTGTACTTTACCAAATTGCACCTGTGCCAATCCCAATCCTGAGCAAAGTGGTTAAAAAAAATATTTTATATTCTAAAAATCAAATAAAACATGACAGCGACAATTATGTTTTCCCTGAAAATTACAATCCTAATTCATTGCAAATCTCGCTTTTAAACCTGAATTATTAATATTTTTACCTACCTTTTAAACCATGTTTATGTATGAAAGGAAAAAGGATGGTATTGTATAAACCATTTACAGAGATAGTCAATAATATTTATAAACTCTTGTTAGACAATTATTTTAAACCATAATCAGAAGGCGAGTTTGGGCTGCGCACTCCAGAGTGGAGTGTAGTAATTAGGCGTAAACGGAGTGCGAATATGATTTTACTCCTTTAAGGGGCCTATTCAGTAACTCTGAACGACGTCGTTAATAGACGATAATCGTTCACAGACGACTTTTCTTATTCAGTAGACAACGATTGTCGTTGAAAATAGACAAATATGGTTGTAAAATTGTCGTTCATCAACGATAGCCAAAGAGCTGTCGTTAATAATATGAAGTGTCGTTATAGTGATTTTTGCATTCCCTCTCATTTTTCATTGTGAATCAGGATGTGTTCTAAATAATAAAAGCACTTTTTTACAAATTTTACAACTAAATTGCCATCTAATACCTAATATACAGCAAGTACAATTTGTAAGGAATTTTTTTCTAATTTATTTATTTTAAAAATAAATCGAATTCAAAGTTAGGATTGCCCATTCAACCATTTACTATTGGATTCTTATTAACAGTGCTGTTCCTAAAGTAGCACTGCGAAACAGTAACAAAACCTATATTACGGAAGTACCTATAATACTTCTCCGTAACCTACACAAATTTGTCTGTCTTTCAAATACAATAAAAAATACAACTTGTATTGTTCTCGAGTTGTTTTTGTATTCTTTTGGAATAGTTCTCAGTTTTTTTTTTAATATATCCATACTCATTTAAATAAACCCTACATACAATACGACCAGCAAAAATGGCCTGCGAGAAACAGAATTCCTACGAATCGAGAATCGACCCCCTGATCGTGTTGTAGGTTAAGAACAATAATTAATATATTCTGAAAAACAAATGAATATATCTACTGGTAGAATTTTTATTTTACGTTCCAAAAAATCTCAAATATACCGAGTGTTTAAATTAAAGGGTTACAGTTAAATACCGCCTTTTATAAAAAAAAAACAAAAATTTATAGTTTTTTTGGGTGTTACTCAATAAGTAGAAATCCAATAAAAAAATGTTTCCTTTAGAAGTTTCTTATTATTTTATGAAAAAATAGGGTTCCAATTAAAAAAAAATCCACCTCGATATGGCCATATTATGGTCAGCTATAAAAAAATTAATTTAGCCAAAATGTTTCCCCTAAAAAACTATAAAACTTTTGTCTGATACTTTTTTTTATAAAATGCATATTTTCGGCGATATTTAACTGTAAAACTTTAATTTAAACACCCGGTACAATCATCAACATACGTTCTTTTATCACAAAACACTAAATTATAATACCAACTTACTAGAAATCATCGTTCAGATTTGGTAACTAGAAACAACGTAACGACTTTGTTATTGAATAGTTTCAAAAATTATCGTTATAAAAAGTCGTTGGTTGAACTGTCGTTAGCTTAACGATGTCGTCCATAAACGATAAATTACTGAATAGGGCCCTAACTCTAGGAGTGCAATGTCAATTGTCAATGTGACATACCAGTACTTAAAATTTAATCGTACTTGTCAGTAACGACCGTATAAGTTTCTTCCATAATAGGGAGTTTTAGCAAACAGCCGCTAACCATCCGCTAACGTTACCTTAGGGATAGACTGTAATCTACTCTGTTCAATGTTTATGAAAAAGGTCACAATCTAAGTTTAACGTAACGTTAGCGGAAATCTTACGTACATTTGCTAAAACTCTCTATTAATGATATTCACGGGAACCAAAAAAAAAATTTATTTACTAAAGAATCACTCACAATTAACTTATTATCAATTTAAATCACCTTATGCGCATGCCCGATCCACACTCCACTCTACCATCTCCGAACGGTCAAAGAGGAACTTTTATTTTAACTCCTTCCGTACCCGAACGCCTTAGGTACTTTAGGAGTGAATATAGTGAAAAGAGTGCGTAGACCGAACTCACCAATAGTAGTTTTTTTGTCGTTTCTATGGAAGAAAATGTTTCCCTTTAACGATATATATCAAGATATATTTGAATGTTATTTTCTGGAAAACTTTAAGGGCAAACGAAATTAGAGCTGTCATGCCTTATGTGATTTTTTTAATATAAAATAATTTTTTTAAGCTACTTTGCTCAGATTAGGGATTGGCACAGGTGCCATTTGGTAAAGTACAATGTTTTTCCATGCTTTTGGGGTATATTTCATTTCGTTATCAGATGACGGTAAAAATTTGCAGTGGAATCGGCTCATAAAAACATTTTCATTCAATTTTTAAATATAAAATTATTAACTTCTAATAAATCAAAGTACGCCATTTTGATTACAGTTTTCCGTCACTCGAAGTGCGATTGTACCGCCAGTTTAACGATAATGTTAATGTCTCAAAAACTCAAAATTTCAATTTAGCAGACTGCAAACTTGCAAATTGTCTTGAAAAAGAACCCTATCATGATATCAAAGCGTAATTGCTTATTTTTGGATAGTGATAGTAGAAAAAATTATTATATCCAGAACAATATATATAAAAAAATTTAGTTTTTTAAATTAATCGATGACTATTTGAAAACTGCAGAAAACAAACGCCTTTTTTAAAATCCGCGCGCTTTTGATGACGCGATGTCAAAAAATAATAAACCACTTGACAACAACGCTTGAATTAAACCCCCGTAAATCGCTCCTAAACTGTCTGTCAAAATGTCAAATGTCAAATTCAGTACTGTTTTGTGTTGTGTATGTTGTAATGTGTCAGCTGTGCAATCATCTGTTGGTTTTATGAAAACAATGTATTATTTATTAAGAAATTTGTGTTATTTTGAGTGAAATGCAGGTAGGTTTTTATTGATTTATATTTAAAATCGACGCTTACATCAAAAAATATCAAATAGTCTTATTTATACGCAAAAGTTTCAAGATACCGTTAAAACATAATTTCTGTAAAAAAGTTTAAAAACCTAATTAAAACAGTTAAATACTGATAATTAAAAGTAAAAATGAGAAAACCTGATTAACGTACCTGTAAATTAATATATATACATAATTATTAAAATATGAATTCTGTCAAAATCCTTTTTTTTCGGAGTGGCGGGATAATCGAAAAATGTATGGCGGGATCTCGAGCAATGTCCTGTTGCTTGGTTATGTGAATAGACACGTAGGAAAAAATTCGCGCTTATAGTTTTTCTATAAAATAGAATAGTTTTTCTACAAATCCCAAGTAAGGTTTATTATATTATATTTAGTTTTTTTAATAGAAAAAGTGTTCAAGTTTGTGTTTTCATCTTAGTTTAGTATAAAATGCAGCTTGGCTGATTTTACCGAAAAATTAAGAAAAAAATACATTAAACCTTAAAAATCGTATGTAATTTGGTTTTTATATAATTAATTATTATTTCCACAAAGTTCTAACAGCATATTTTTTATTTTGAGGTCGTTTAAATACTTTTAAATGGTCATTTAAATACCTTTAAATTTCTTCAAAATGAAGGTTCTTTTGTTAACACAAAGGGCTTGAGTATGAAAGATGAGAGTTTTTTTGCTTTTTGAAGTAACTATTCTATTATATTGGGGTATGTAAACTAGATATATTCAGATAAACATTTTTTTAAGTAACATTGTTGTAATTTAATATATGCAAATTGTAAATGTCCTTTTATTGCCTAAAGCTACTAAGTTTTTCAAGTTTCCAAAATAGCTTTTCTCTTATTTTAAGGTATAGAAACTAGATATTATATTCAAACATTTTTTTTAGTAACATTGTAATTTATCAGCATAATAAAGTGGAAATTGTAAATGTCCTCTCATTACCTAAGCTACTGAGTTTTTCATTCAAGTTTCTAAAAAAATATGCTTAGGGAATATTTTATAGTAATTATTTTATAATTAAAAAAGAACAATTTGAAGTAAGATGAAGAAAACAAAAAAATAATGTAGATTCATTAATAAATGAAATATTTTGGACAGTTTTATTTTGCCAATTAAAGAATATGAGGAATTTGTAAATCAAAATTAAGGCAGGATTATTATTAATATTTATAGGTAACTTAATGGAGTGAATTTTAAAATTTAAAAGGTCTAAATAACAAAACTGCTGATGTGTTGTAAGGTTAGAATTGTGAAAACTTTTTCATATTTGAATAAATTGAATTACTGGAAAAAATTAGTTATATTTTGGTGGTAAACTTAGTTTGAGACTACTAAATTAAGATATCCTGAAAAATATCAAGAATATAAATCAACTGTTGTTTGATAGTGCATTATTCTTTTTTATTGAAGCATGCACCTGTATGTTTATCCTGAACAAGTTACATAATTTGTTTGTTATATATAAAACAAATTACAAAATATTAAAAACAATCAGTTTTTTATCTTGAAAAATATGTTCAATACATAAGTATTTCTTTGAAAAAGTTTTGCTATTGGTTAAGTATTTACCTACTTTCTGGAAACAACTTAGGGACCAACTTCAAAGTTTTCAAAATTTATTGTATGTGTTAACAAAAATAACTTCAAATAAAAAATACTTTCACTCAAAATAGCAAACCAAAAATAGCTTTTATTAATCTTAAAACTTTAAATTACTCTATTTTCTACAATGGTGAATATTTTAATACATTGGTCCTGGGAAGTATAATAGTGTGGATTAAAAAAGAATTGGGTTATAGAAGACGATAATTGGAACAATCTCTTGGAAGCCTGTATCTGCCTGAGCAAGAACAGGTTATGCATTGTAATAGGGATCCTTACCAGGCATTGCTGATTGAAAGGACGCCTTAGTAAACTGAGATTAGTAGTAGAAGAAGATAGTGAGTGCAGATTCTGTGAGGAGAAGGACGAAACCTCCATTCACATTCTGACTATTTCCTTGCTGCATTAGCGACAGAAGGCCACAATAGATTTTTATGTCTGTGTATTAATAAACCATACCAACATAATACGGGATTGTCGAAATGTAGATATTGCAATAGCAAATCCAGACAGTTTCCTACGATTTTATGTATAGTAACCAAAAATAGCCCTACTGGTGGTGTTTTTAGCGGCTGAGTCTGCCAGAAAAATCTGCAGTGTATATGGTAGTACATTTATGTAGGTACATATGTGACAGGTTGCCAAAGAGAGCTGTGTACAAATAAGATAAAAATATTGGCGATGGTGAATTCCTATTTTTTATTTTGAATAATTCATAGATATTTACGTAAAAATAAATATTAGTGTTTTTTTTTTTTTAAATAATACCTGAGTAAGTCATGGATTTTAAATTTTAAAATGTTGCGTTTGTACTTTGATAATTATTTCATAATTACAATAAGTTATTTAAATTAATATACAATACAAATAATAAAAGATACATTTGTATAATAATAATAATTATTAACAGAAAATGGTAAAATAAGTGAAACATCAAGATAAGTACAATATTTAAAAAATCCAGTTCAGACAGATTAGCTAAACTTGAGGTTTTGGAGATGAAAGAATAGACAGCATAATTATTAGTTTTACAAAATGGTTGAGAAAATGTATTCTTATGACTTGATAATCTGCCAGGAGCACACAGGCCAATGTTAAATAGTAAAGTGGAACAGTCCACCAATAACCTGATTGTGTTAAAGAGCATCATGATATCTTTAAAGTCTCTTCTATTTTTGGGAAGTTTAAAATTAAAGATATAATTTTGAATTGTTGTAATACCAAACTTAAATCCCATGAATCTTAGGAACTTCCTTTGTACTTGTTCAATATTTATTTATTTAGTACACCACTAAACAGTTGAAAACCAATTACAGAGTGGGATGAACATAAATTAAAAACAAATACAATATACTAATGATATACATCACAAACGAGTTAAGAACATCAGATATGACTGAACATGAAACAAATAAGAAGTACAATAAAGCCTATTTTTAAGGAAAACTGAAGGTAAAATATTCAGTTATATTTTAAGTTCTTAAAGGAGCATAAAACAAATTTAAAAAAATTAAATTAAAATAAAATAAATACACACAAAAGATATATTATCAACTTACCAAGCAGGATAAACGCCTACTCAGTTTCTATGGTAATAGCTCTAAAAATATCTATTTTCTTACAACAAAAAATATCCAAATTGTCTTGAAGGTGATGATAATTATTGATCATTTGAAAAATTGGAGAACCGTTCAAAATATTTGTATTTGCAGCTGGCAAGTGAAAGCTTAAGTATATTCTAAGGCCAGGGCAGGGTACTTTAATGTTGATATAGTCCTGAAACTCAATGCAGTTTAGCCCTTCATGTAAATATCCCATAGGAATGAAACTAGCTGCATTTTATGGCATATGTGCAGTTCCATTAAACCAAAGCGCGACAACAGTTGATCATGAGGAAATCCTCTAGCAGGATAGATATTGTCTAGAAGATATGATGCGGACTTCATAAATTTTCTTTGCACATTTTCAATAGCGCTACTATAAATGTTAAGTGATGGATTCCATACAACTGACTCGTACTCAAGTCTAGATCTAACAAAACTAATATATAATAACTTCATTGTATGTATATTTTTAAATTGTTTGGAATTTCGAATTACAAAACCAAGACTCCATGAAGCACACATAACTGTCTGCTCAATATGCCTTGCGAAAGTTAATTACCTGTCAAAATGGACTCCCAGATCCTTTATAAACTCTGGCCTACTTAACACAGTGCCATTGATCTGATAATCAAAGATGATTTTTCCTAGTATATGTCATAACACTACATTTATCAGGATTCAAATGCAAATAATTTTTAGTACACCATAGCAATACTTCAGCAAAACAACTTTGTAAAGCTGTGCAATCAACAAAGTTCCGAATTTCAGCAAACATTTTTAAATCATCATATATAAAGTATTTTACTTCTGTGCTTTTGCCAATAATGTCATCAATAAAAACTATGAAAAGAAGGGGCCCAAGGACCGAACCCTGCGGTACACCTGAAATTTGCTTAAAATGGTTTGATCTAAATCCTTGGTGTTACACGTACTGACGTCTATTTTCTAAGTAACAATCGATAAGTAAAAGAAGAAGAAGAAGAAGAAGAAGATCAGATAGTCCCTTAGACTTTAATTTTTGTAATAGGTTTTGATGATCAATTCTATCGAAGGCCTTAGAAGAGTCGGTATAGATATATAGGTATAGATATAGATAACATCGAATTATGACTATTGTATCTGTAAAAAAGATTCCACACACAGAAAATACATTCAAAATGAGGTCTGAGAGTGATGTTAAATTCTCGAGCATGTATTTTTGGAGAACGTACCCCGAGCATGAACGAGAATAAACGAAAACATCCCGAGAATTTATGTTTGGGGGATAGTATTCGAAAACTTACTTTTCGCAGTTTTTTCCGAAAATGCTCAACATTGTCCTAATGCTCTATATGAAAATGACTATTATTTGTGTTGCAAATAATAGAGCGATAACTTCTATCATTAAACAAATCTATATAAAGTAAAAAAAGCAAAAACTTAAATAACATAAGTAACATTATGTAGAAACATAGTGCAAGAAGTAAGCTTAAATATAAAACTTTTTATAAGAAAAATTAAACTTCAATTTGCAATAAACTGAAAGTACAATTTTAGGTCTATAAATATAAAACTTTTTGTAACAAAAATTAAATTGCAATCTGCAATAATCTGAAAATACAATTTTATGTCAGAAGTAACCAATTCTACCTATTAACCTACTCTACTCTCTCTACTCCAAGTGTCATGTGAATTGACGTAAACAAAAAATTATTAAAAAAGGTACATTGCAACAATTGTACATCTTGATTCACTCTAATTTGATATTACCAAGGTGACAACATGTTTTAGAAAATTCGATAAAAAGTTTGTAGAAACATCACATTCGAAAAGTTAAAAAAAATGACTCACATTTTTTCGGAACTATGTTTATATGAACTTTTACTTCTATTTTAGGATGTAGATTACGCTGTTAAACTATGACCGTCTAATATCGGGACACCCTGTATAAATGTGCAATAATATACTTAGCACCACCACTAATTACTGTGGCTAGTGATCAGCTATTATCTTCAGCTGGTATTGTATATGAAAGCACAATAAATCGTCTGACCTCAGAAAGAGCAGACAATTTAATTTTGTTGCATTTTACCTTGCCAAAACTTGACTTTAAATATTAAAAAATAGGTTTTTTGAATTTAAGATTTTAAATATTTTTTTCTCAAATTTTAATTAAAAATATAGCTTACATTTTTAATTAATATTTATGTTTTAATTTCTTTAAAAAAATCCTTAGCAATTGAAATACTTTTTTATTAGGCCGATATGGCACTCTAAATATCAGCCGATATTCCGATATCTATTCCTAAAAACAAGTACCTAAGTTCAAAAAAAATAATCAGTTATGATCACTACCATACAGTAAGAGAGCCCACTGCAAATTTCGACCGCCATCTGATAACGAAATGAAATATGCTCCAAAGGCATGTAACAACATTGTACTTTACCAAATTGCATCTGTGCCAATTCCTGTCCTGAGCAAAGTGGTTAAAAAAATATTTTGTATTCAAAAAATCACATAAGAAATGACACCGACAATTGTGTTTGCCCTGAAAATTACAATCTTAATTCATTGTGAATCTAGCTTTTAAACCTGAATTATTAATATTTTTACCTACCTTTTAAACCATGTATGTGTAAAAGGGAGAAGGATGGAATTGTATAAACCACTTGCAGAAATAGTCAATAATAATTATTATAAACTCTTTTTAGATAATTCTTTTAAACCATAATCATAGTAGTTTTTTTGTCGTTTCTATGACAACCTGTAAAAATGAATCGCAACAATAGGCATGCAAATAAATTTTTAAATCAGCAAAAATTGATTCATAATTTTAAAGATTTTTACCTACAAATCGTGGATAGATGTTTTTGTGCGATGTTAAGAGGATGAAAATGTTTTCCTTTAACGATATATATCAAGAAATATTGTAACATTTTAAAAGTCCAATTAAAAATGTTATTTTAAATATGTGCCATCCTGTATAAATAGTTTTCGATTAAATTAAATTCAATTATCGCCGCACACAATATTCCAAAGAAAGGGAAATTTCTTGAAGTGGGAGTACAGTTAACCAAACGATTTCGCATTAGATTTTTAAAATTCATTTACTATTGCTTTCTCTTCATATCTGGTGGTGTTTTGGCTGTAAAAGTGAAAACTAATGAATACAGCTGTAAACTAAACACTATAAAGCTAAACGCTGGAAATTAAAGCTGGAAAATTGATCGAGGAAAACTGACTGGTAAAAGCTGACAGTTAAAACTCACAAAAAGTTACAAAGAAGAACGAGAACAAAGAAAAAGGTATGCTGTTCATTTTCGAGTAACCGAAATAGGCGTGGGTTCCCGATTTGCAGAAATTTCAACTACCTCCGAAAGAAGTTGCCAGCAAAAAGGCAAAAGTGTAACTACTAGTGGCTAATTTTATGTATGACGAGATTAAAAATTAATACCTGATAAACTTTAAATGATTTGTTTCTGAACAGTTTCTTTTTTATCTAAATAAAATAGTTCATTTTTATAAGTATATATGTTGAATCTTATTTTTTAAAGGTTACAACAATTCTCTTTTACTCAAATTAAATTCTGTATAAGTTTTTATTAACTTCTTTCTTTGATAAAGCTAGAGTTTATAATTCACAATAGCTTTTAAAAATAAGAAAAAAGAGAATTATTGGTGCCCAACATTTCCTAGAAAATTATTACCCCAAAGGTGTCTATTAGAAAAGCCGAATTCACGACTGAGAAAAATATGGTCATGGTGCCCATTTATTTCTTTTAATTTTTAAAGGTAAGTAATGTTTGATATTAAATTTGACTGAGCTAGTAAAAATCTCTTTATAAGTGTTTTGAAATTAACATTTTATCACAAGGCAAATTTGCACTGAAACGGGTCAAAACAACATTGCAATATTTATTTAATATAATTTTCTGGAAAACTTTAAGGGCAAACAAAATTAGCGCTGTCATGTCTTATTTGATTTTATTAATATAAAATATTTTTTTAACCACTTTGCTCAGGATAAGGATTGGAAGAGGTGCCATTTGGTAAAGTACAATGTTTTTATATGCTTTTGGGGTATATTTCATTTCATTATCAGATGACGGTAAAAATTTGCAGTCAGCTCTTGGGCTAATAAGTTTTCAATTACTGAAGAACGTTGCCACATATTCAATGAATTCATAAACGATATTCATGAATGCTTTAAAAGTTCAAAATTCTTGTACTTTGGCAGTGCCGTAAAGGTCTTAAAATTTGTTTTCTGTAAAAATCAGGTACTAGATTTATTATACTTTATACCTTCAATCAGTATGCCCAGAAAAAAATGACTCACATATGTAGGAAAATGTTATAAATTTCCGATGTATAGAAAATGTCAAAAATTCCTATAGAAAAAAATTCCTTCGAGTCGAGAATCTACCCCCTGGTAGGTGGCCGGAATAACAAATAATCTTTCTAGTCATGTAACACTAGACTACGTTGCAATATCTAATATCCAACTTAATTCGTGTGAAAAGAAACATCTAGTCAGATTTTTTAGCAACTTCCCGTGGAAACAAATCATCAAACTATGGTTATATTTTAGAACAATATATCACATAATCACAATGAACTAAAGAAATAAATATAATAAATACCTACATACACTTACTATGCACAAAAACAAACTGTTAAAAAAGTTATCCCCAAAATGTCACTATTATCAAATAATACAAAAACAACCGTCTAAAAATTACTATGAATAGAAAATCATACTTCTAATCTATTCCGTTTAAAAATTTCTACTTGTCCAATAAAGTGTTGGTGATGGGCATTCCAAGAGTTAAATAAATAAAAATAATTTTAAATTTGTTTGATGTTTTTTTAAATAAATCGTGTACTCTTGTTGGGAACTCATAAAGTGATTGGTTTTTGAGATATTCACACTCAAAGGTTTATATATTCATTTTAATTTACTTTTTTAAAATTGTGTTTTTGGACTATAATAATTGTACATTTTTTTTTTTTTTAATAAATCATTTACTTTTGTTGGGAACTCATAAAGTGATTGGTTTTCGAGATATTCACACTCAAAGATGGATATTCTAAATTTTGATGTATTAATTTTGTATTTTTTATAAATTCCCAACAAGCCTACATGATTTATTTAGAGTCATTAAAAAATTTAAAATTATAGTCCAAATAAGTTTTTGGACAGTGCTGTAAAATTTAGAATTGATGAAGGTTTTGAACGTTTGCCGAATTTAGAAAAATTATACGGAGTAATTAAAAAATTATAGCCATTAATAATTTATGAATTTTCAAACTTCAATGCCCTGTATTTCAGAAACGATTAACATTTTACATAACCATTGTCTTATTTTTAATTGGAGAATCTTCAATTTTTCTGTGTTCCATTCTTCTATAAAAAAAACAGCAATAAAAAATATTAGATTATTATATATTTGTATAGGCAGAAGGACTTCGGTCGATAGTATATTGGACTGAATTTTCAGTTCAATAAATGACAATTATTATTATATATTTGTCTCACGGCTATAATAAATAAATGACAGATTAATGCACAACATTACTGTGTTGCAAATTGGTGATTTAAAAATACGTTTCCCTCTTTTCAGATAAACTTTAACACCTTGGAAAATTCACAATAAAGACTTATTACATAGACTGACTTTTTTACAATATTCATAATGGGCAGTAGCAGTAGATCAGAGGAAAAACGTTCCTTACAATCCACAGAGAATTTCAAAGACTATGACCCCGAAAAACTGAACTCGATAGGAGTCTATGATGAAGGTCAATATGCTGACACTAGTAAATTGTCGTTTCAAGATTTACTCAAAATTCACCAAAAGCAAACCGTGTGGGGGTTCCAATTCGGGAAAGAAGTTCGCCAGAGTACGTTAAACAGAGAGAAAAGTATGCAAGGAAAGATTAAGGATGATTGCGAGAAATGTGATGATGTTCAAACAGTGATTGATAGTGATACAGCTAGTACAAGCAGTTCTAAGTCAATTACTGAGAAAGATCATAAGACTCCTCATTCACGAAAACGAACAGGTGTACGAAGGACTGGTAAAAGGAAGAATAGTATGAAGGGAAATGATTTTGTTTCACCACAAAAAACACGGAAGGCACCTTTGCCATTGTTGGATTGGGCTGATTCTAAAGAAGTAAGTTCAGTAGTTTTATTTTGAAGGTTGACAATAATTAAATGCAAGTTTGGTCTCTTCTTACAGCATATTTTTTTTTTGCTGAAATTGAAAATACTTTTGTTGTACTCACCACACTCACACCAATCTTGAAGATTGAACAGATATTACAATGAATACTAGGTCATTTTTATAATCACTCAAAATAAAAGAGAACAAAAATTACAATGTATAATATATTATATGAGAACTTTTCAACAAGTTTGACTAAGATCTCTATTTCATAAAATAAAGTAATAAAACCTTGTATTTTGTGCAATATTTCAATAAAATATAGTTAAAACACTTTAATTTTGAAAATTGCTTTTACTTTTCTAATATTTATTAAATAATATAAGCTTATCTTTTTGGAAGCTATATAGGTCTTCTGAGTTTATACATTTAGCTACTTCACCACTTAGTCTACTATAAACAAAATGTGTTTTATTGAGATAGGTTGCTGTTATTTGGTGTTTGTTTGTGTGTAAATGTTCATGAATAAGTTTTCTAAACATTTTAATAATAATAAAATTATTATCAAATATTTATAAAATCATATTTAATGCATATTTTAAAAAGTATGCAATTTATAGATTAAGATGGATTTTTTTTTAACTGCATGTGGAAATCACTTTTGCATTTTTTTATAGCTCATAACTATAGTCTGTTCGCTATACTTACGCGGGTTTCGGATTAACAAAATTATGCAAATTAGTCATTGACAACCAGTTCCAATAAGCCTCTTCCCAAGAAATTAGGTAAAATTGCCCTAATGGTCAGATTTAAATTAAAATAACATTAGGGTAGGTACTAAATTTGTTACAAATATTGCAAATTTTTAATCCGAAACCCGCGTAAATATAGCGAACAGACTGTATTGGGACATACAGTAAGACAGGTTATTTGGACCAAAATTTGAGGCATGGACTAAACATGCCTTGGCAGAAGTTAGGTAAATTAACCTGTGCCATCGCAGTTTGCTTTGCAAAAAAATTATACAAAATGAGAAAAATTACAAAAAAAAAACAATTTACCAAACCTGTGTTATCGCGGAGCGCTCCAGCCCGCATAGGTTAGGTAAATTGATTAAGTTTTTTTTTATTTAACAATAAATAATAAAAAATAAAAAAGCGCTGTTTGTCGCTATTTAGTGCTTAGCGCTATTTTTTCTAATGCTATTTTGACTTTGCGCTATTTAGTCCTGCACCATTTCACCCCGCGCTATATTGTCCTCCGTTATTTAGTGGCGGTGGCGGAATCGCATATGTGTCGCCTCCTGTAACAAAGTGTAAAACAATAGATAAAATAAGATTCCTTGTATAAAGTTATGTCTCTTTGCCAATTTTTTTAAGGATTTATAAATATTTTGTGAAATTATGACAAAAAAAAAATTTCAACTTTACCATCCTGTATTTTTTTTCACAGCAACGTTTTATTAATACATGTTTGGTCATATTTTGGTCCAAATAACCTGCTCTTACTCTATATCCCAATAGTTATGACCCAACCTGTATAATAATTAGCAAAACAAGTTAAAAAAATACCAGTTCAATTCTTAAACATTTTACTATAGACTTCCAAAGTTTAAGTACAATATATTAAGTAAAAACGTTCAATTGACCATGTAAAATGTACTCAAATGGCTACTTTAACTCTAATTCTAAGATATTGAAATTTTAGTTAACAACATATTCAAAGAGACTTTATAAATAACCTTAAAAGTATAGCGTTTACATTCTCTTCCAGGTATGGTTATACATGGTTTACAAAGAAGAGGCTTCCTTAAATCTCAGAAATCCCTGTCTCTTCGAGGATTTCTCAAACTTCATGCCTCGAATGCGCGCCATTTTACTAGACTGGGTGATGGAAGTTTGCGAAGTGTACCACCTTCGCAGAGTAACCTACTACCTCTGTGTGGACTATTTTGATAGATTTTTATCAATAAGGCCAGATGTACCTAAAAATCAACTACAACTAGTTGGAGTTACTTGCCTATTTTTAGCTTCAAAATTGGAGGAAGTGTATCCTCCACGTTTATCAGAATTTTCTTATGTTTGTGATGGGGCCTGTAGTCCAGATGAAATTTTGTCTTGTGAATTATTGATTTTAAATAGTTTAGGTTGGGATTTGAATATCATGACTCCCAGTGATTGGTTGAATCTTTATATGCAGATACATTTCCAAGTAGGGAATGTAACAAAGCAAAAGCTACATTTGGAAATGAATAGAGATTTTTTGTTTCCCCAATACTCAGGCTACCAGTTTACCAGAGCATCACAATTATTGGATATGTTAAGTTTGGATCCAGGTTTTTTGAAGTTCAGTTACAGCACTATTGCTGCGGCTGCTATGTATTTTATGTATGGAAAAACTGTGGCGTTAACTACCTCTGGTTTGTTTTGGGTACAGTTGCAACCTTGTGCTGAATATATGGCAGTTTTTTATCATGTGATTAGAGATAGCCCGGATCCAAGATTGCAGTCTTGTAAAGGAGATACTAATGTTGATGACCAGAGTTTTACAGCATTGGACAGCATCAGGCATAAGGTAATGTATCTGTTTATTTAACACTTTTATGAATAAAACTAAAATCAACAATCAAAATCCCTAGATACAGCTTAATGAATAATTTTTGATCCATCAGCATATCTATTAATCTTTCTCCAGGAATATGACCTTACAATTATTACACTTTATAAAAATTTTATCACATTAAAGTAATAAAAAAAAAACAAAATCAAAGTTATAATGTTGAAATTAAATTTCTATCTTCTGTCTGTTGTCTTTCTTTCGGATATAATTCAATTCCTGTTGCAGCATTAGCCAAACAGTAGTTGTTTTTCTAAGGGACATGGCTTCTTGATTTATTTATACAATTTTATTTTATATAGTAATCCATCTTAGATCAGTTTTTCTCTAAGTATTTGTATTTGTTCCAAATAAAGGTTTAGATTTTTATTATCATTATTGATCTCATCCTGTATAGTAGTTCAGGAATGAATCATATTTTTTTTGGAGTGACTAAACCAAAGGAAAATAAAACAGGTTGATTTAAAAAACACCAACAGATTTTATTCACTGACAACTAGTAACAAAGTGCAGATTATCAGTGTTAACCTATTATAGAACACACAAATTAAAAATCACTGTAGCCAACGCATAATCCACTTTTCATGGCGGCCAGCATGAATGGAGTGTCATTGTACTGAAAGCGTACCCCTAGCGAGATATCTAGACTTTCTGAAAGCTATTGGGTTGGGAGGGAGGGAGGAAGGGGACACCATCAACAATGTGAAATGTTTCAAATAAGATTGTTTTTATTAAAAAAGTAAATAAAAATAAATATTTTATGAAACGAAAAAGTAGTGAATAAAAACAAACGGCTAATATCGATCATCACCGGTACGATGGAGACATGTATAACACCCCCTTGGCCACGCTACTCTGTATGTAAAACCCCTAAAACTGCTGTTGCTAAGTTTATTAATCCATTTTTATGGATATTAAACATTTTTATGGACATTAAACATTTAGTTATGTTAAAAAAGCAGAGTGCCTACATAAAATTTTCATTTTAGGTTAAAGGTTTGGTAAAAGACGAAAATCATTCATTACAAACCCATGTGATCAACATGGAATATTTTGAAAAATCAGCAATAATTAGGTTAGAACAAATGGGACTGAAAGTAGAACGAACTTATGTAAAGAAGAAAAAAGCAGATCAGAAACCCGAAAAATCCGATCATGAAGATAGCTGCAAAGAAAATGACAATGAAAGTGAAGATGCCCAAACTTCCGTCTGTATGTATGAATTAGAAAAATTAAATTGTGAAGCAGATATACTAAGCGATGATGAGGACTTAAATATTATTCAACCACAAACTGCAGATGCTAATTTAATATTGCAAGAAGAAAATAAAGCAATTTTAAGTTTTGACGAAATCTTGGATGGTATAGTTAAATGTAATAAAAAAAATATTAAACTCCAACCAGAATCTAATTCGGAGACTGATTTAGAATTATGTAACATAGAGGAATTTAATCCTAGAGACTAGCAGTAGTTATTTTAGGTATTTTAGTGTTAAGAAAATTTTAAAAAAATATTTGAGCTTTTGACGTTTTAATTTATTTCTATCAGAAATGTAATATACGCAGTAAAGCTACAGTTTTAATAATATGATAGGAGAGTGATGATTATGTAACAAAATAGTAACGTTTTATGTTACACATTGTAACAAAAAAAAAACCACTTCTTATATTATTTTAACAATTGACGACTTAGTTGCTGAACATAGTGTATAGCCCATATGTGCCTTAATATAAAGCTAGATAGTTGAATAAATAAAAAAAATTAAAATGCATACAAAATGTCCTAACTAGTCCAAATACTACAAGTATCAACTTCGTGATAATTTATTGGAAATATCAGTAAATTAAATTGAATTTTTTATCCATAACCTCTTAAAAGAAAAATGGATACAACACTCTTCTATCAACTTTTTCAAATATTTTACAATGGCGTCACCCATAATAAAACAGAATTTACTCATTAGGTAGGCATTTGAAAGTAGTTTAACTTGAACATTTTTGGAATAATAATTAAAAAAAAAGTTTTAGCTCTTTCATTTGGCATATGTATAAAATATGATACTGTAACTGGTCTGCAGACTTGGGATCGTTACTTAAAAATAGTAACGTGTTACTTTAGAGTTACTTTTGCTGCAAAGTAACAAGTAACGTGATAAATAATCATTACAATTACTTTATTTGAAAAAGTAATGCGTTATTGTTCGTTTCTTTTAAAATAACGTGTTACTGAAAAAGTTTTATTTGCAATAACGTGTTACTTTCGGAAATAAACGAATAGGAAAAATTAAGGTTATATTGTTGTGTGTAATTCATTCTTTATTTTGCTAAATTTTTTAATTATTCAACAGAAAACTTAACAAAATAATATTGAAACTAAACAGTCTTTCTTGTAGCAGTTGTAGTAATCTAAAGGATAAACAAAATTACAAATTATATGAATCGGTGAGTGGAAAAAGGATATGACTCCAAAAACGTAATTTTTTAGATAACAACGTAAACTGTTTTGTGCAAAAAACTACTTAGGCTACAAGAATTGTATGCATTAAAAGTTTTTAGGTTAACTGTTTCTCGAAACAAATATAACGTGACATTTTATTTATTTTTTTCCGTAACTGTCAAAAAAACAAGTATCACTTATATTGTTTTTGCACTCAATTTTAAAAATACATTAAATGATTAATGTAGAATTTGATTTGTTCCCGGGTGTGGAACGAGTTATTTTGCAGATAAATATAGCCAATAAAAATCTTGACAAAATTTATCAGAACATTTTTAAAGTAGTAAGTAAAATAATGTATTTATTTGTAATATTTATTGAAAACTAGTTACAAACCTTATCTTATGGAGTGTAGTTTATTTTATTAAAATTTTTATAAGGTTTAATATAGCCTAAAAATAGCATGAGTATATATTAAAAATTCAACTTACCAGCAAGAGTTCTGACATTAGATAAGGTTACTACTATTATTTTTTGGTTGTACCCCAATTTAGTAATCGTAAATTACTTGGAGTTATATTATTTTTCCACTCAGTTTTAAAAATGCATTAAATGATTAATGTTAATTGATGAACATGGTTGCAAGTAAAGAAATAGTTGAATATTTATTTAAAAAAACATCAGTACTTATTAAAAATATAACACAATTTTTTTTTCCAAATTATTCAATCATCATCGTGGTTTACCATGACGTGATATGATAATAAAATTCCAAAGTTTCTCCTGCCATATATTGCATTACTTTTTTGAGATTATCAGTTTTTTTAATGTTGATTGGTAATATATTTGAGTAGGTAGGCGCAGCTGGGTTTGATTAACTTGAAAGTTCTTGACATTAATTCGCAGAACTGTTATAAGTAAACTGCCGGTAACTTGATATCGTAAATTTGCCTTTATGTTCATCCAGAGATTGGCATGTTTTCTTATGGTGGTTTGGCCACCAGTTTTTGTAGTCGACGATATCGTTATAGTATACTGTTGAAATTGTGAATGGTTTTAACTTGCGGCGAGACAATATCATGTTTTAGTAATCCTCCAGAACATCGATTCTATCATATCTTCTTATAACCGTTTTTAGATCACAGAAGTTCCTATCGCATGGCAAAAAAGTTGCCACGAACTGGAAAATAGTGATACATTTTACGGAACTGCTTTGATGCCGCATGAGCTAACAAATATCTTGCTACCGTGCGGTTACGGTCTTGACCTAGGCAACCATCTGAAAATATGTAAATATCTGTGTTATCTCTGCTGGCATTTTCTGCACATAATCATTAAGTTGTCGGTAACAAAACATCTCTTGAACGGGTATAACAGGCAGCAGCATATTTTGGCACATTTTCACGTTCTAGGTATAAATAGTAATTATTTTGTTTACTTTAGATTAAAATTTGTTAGCCTTGCGTTTATGGATCATCAATTCGGCACCTGCTACTCTCTTGTCATTGAAGTTTTGGTCCTTAAGTTTTGTGGATAGTCTTTTGCATTGACGACATCCACTTGATGCCTCTCAAATTTCAATGCATTTAAATAGAATTCATGTTTGACTTTATCACTTAAGTCTGAGTATAATTTAACAAAAAGATTATACATAAACTTAACGTTTAGTGTTGAGTCAAGATAGTGAACTTCTTTAGAACAGTAGTGGGGAGTTTTATGGGGAAATGATTCAATATGTTGATGAATTTTGGCAATAATGTAACTTCTGGTGGTAAAACATGTGGTTGATTATTGTATGTCTTTGTAGCCTGGAATTTGATATTGCATTCAAACTAAGAAAGGCTGCCTTGTAAACCTGTTGCCTCTCTAAATTATTGTTTTGGATAAAATATGAAAAGGCTACTTCCCGATTTTTTCTCAGCTTCTCCCTTTGGTCACTTCCTTGCTACTGGTTTACAATCCATCAAGCCATGTAAATAAACATGCTGTTCGTTTTTTGAACCCTTTTCATATAACTTTCTTTTTGTCTGTTGTAAGATTTGACTTGCATTTATTTTTACATCTAAAAAAATTGATAATAATAATAATAGTACTCTCCCTAATTCACCCCCTTACGAGTGAATTTTAACCCCAAAAGCTGAGCTTGTACGGGGAAAGGGACGGCTATTATTATTATTTGCAGTGGCGCTCCGGGGCGACTTAAAGATGATTGATGGTGCCATTTGACTTACAGGTGAGGAAAACCTCACCCACCATCATCGAGACGGTAATGCATGGCGATTTTATAATCTGCATGTCAAATCAACAGAAATTGAATTTCTATTAATACGGCACACATCAAATCCTAAACCGAACCATGCAATTTAATTAAAAATCCACATGGTCCGGGCTGGGATTCGAAGCCCAGCAGTCTCTGACTCATAAACTTGCCTATAAATGAATATAAGTGCGTTAGACCGCTACACCACCGACCCGATAAACCATCATTGAATAAATTTTACCAGTATAGGTGCTTACGTGCAGTCTTTAACAACCATTCTATAGACTGTTTGCAGGACGTCTTTTCCCCCTTTTTTCAACTATTTCATTAACAGAATTCTCACTGGATATGTTAAATTAATTTTGATATATAAAAATCGAAGCAGCACAAAAAAGTTAAATTACTCAAAGATCCACCCAAGATCGCACAGAATACTAAAATGAATATTTTTTATATTAGCTGATTGATGGCGCTCGTGTCCGGTGTTGAATGGAAGAACGATATAAATCCTGGAGTTATATCGTTATTAAACTCAATGTCAAAACTATACCGCTATGTTTATGCGTGCCAGTTTCAGTTATTATAATGTTTATCGGCCCAGTGTAAAGGTAGAAGGCTAAAGATGATTTTGGTTATCTTGGTTTAAAACGCCATTTTTTGGAGTTATATCCTTTTTCCACTCACCTATTTAATTATTAGACTAATTAGACTATTAGACTAAATGTCAAATATTAATAGAAAACAAAACAAAGGTAACCCTTCTGTTCCTAATAGTCCTTCAGCTTATTTGCCGTCTCTTTGTAGTTGGGTATAGCTGAGACGTATGAACAATATGTACTATGTTCCTGCACTGGGAGCGGTTATGTGGCATGTGAAATTCAAAGCAAAGTTGCCCAACGATGAATTCTTTTTTAGCCGGCAATGAAATATATGTTTTGAGTTGTCGATACCGATAAAAAATAACATGAACGAATATTTACTTTTTTTTCAACCAAATTTGGATTATTGGGTATATACAAAAAAAATTGTAACCTGACGAAAATTAGCGCGTTTTTTTTTAAATAGGTGTAAAATCGGAACTAAAAGTTAAAAAGAGGTTTAATTGCTCTCAAAATCTTTTTAATGACTCACCTACGAGTATTGCATATATTCTGCCTTTATTCAGACTATTGTCGTGATTATTTTGATATTTTTTCTCGAAAACTCTTGTTACATTTTTTCGCAAATTAATCCTTTCGCCAGCATAAAAAATTCAGAAAAATTACATTAATATATTCTGATTTTCGTTGGAAAAGGTACATATACGGTTACAGGTCATATTGTCGGTTCACCCCATCCTCCTACAAAGACTATAACAAGACCTTAAAAAAAAAATAACTTAACTACAATAAATATAACAACACAGATTAAAATTAAGATACTAAAAGTACAAAGTCTAAAGTAACTCCTTACTATTTAGCTTCACTTTTTAGTAACGTGTAACTTTTGCAGTGAAGCGTTACTTTTGCAATAATGCTTTACTTTTGTAGCAACACGTTGCTATTGCGAAGTAACGATTTCAAGTTACTTTATAGAAGTAATGCAGACTTTTCGCCCATTTTAAAAAGTAACGAAATTACTGAAAAGTAGCGTTTTAGTTTTGTTACTCCCAGCTCTACTGGTATGCAATTAAAAAATATAATTCGATGTTTTATTTTAAAATATATGAAAGATTGAGTTTACCATTTGCTTACCTCCGAAATTTAGAAATTGGCGTATAAGTTGGGACATTTTGTATATAAACATTTTATCTAATTTAAGACATAATTTATTTTGAATCTAAATAAATATTTTTAAGTTTTAAGCTCAAATAAAATTGTACTAAAAAGTGTAAATTTGTGATTGTATTTATATTAAGGTTTAATTATTGTCATTTTTCATTTGCGACAGCCATTTTTATCACATGCATTTTTTCATGTTCATGGTTTTAGTACTTTAGTTTTTTATGATCTTTCAGTGCATATATTCACAGAATAAGGAAAATAAACAAGAAATTTTTTATTTATACTTAGTTGGATAAGTTAAAAGCTTTAGCGTACATTCTGTATATATTTAATTTAATATGCTTCAGTTTTTTAATACTGCGTGGTCCAGATTTTTTAATTTTAGTTTTACTATTTTATCTGAAATTAAATGCAATTCTAAAATAATTAAATGTCAATAAATAATTCGATTTTTTTGTAGTTAGAAGACTAAAAGGGCATATTTTGTAATTTATTTGTATTGCCGACATTTCAGTTGACCAAAAAAATAAAATATAAAAGTATCGAATATTGAACCACTCAAAATGTTTGATATATCAGACTTAAACTAACCTCAGAGCTTAACAAAATTAATAATTAAATAATTAAAGTATTTTTGTGAAACAAAATTTTTACAATAATGATTTTAAGGCTTTAAATTGATCGGTGGTTACTACTTTTTGATTGATTTAACTAATTAATAATCGAAACTATTTTGCTTTATAAAAAATAACATTATTGGTTTTTGAAAAACTGGACCACACATTATAATATATTAATACTTTAATTTCTTGTTTTTTTTTTCATGTGTGCTACTCTGATCTCAAACTGTCTACTCCCTTTTCAGGATTTATGGATACTAAAAATTATTTTTTTTCTCTTAATTTACTGTGATTCTGCATTCATAAAAAAATGATAGAAAAATAATTTTATTTCATATATTATGCATTTTAACTTGATACAACTGATACAAAAGTTGAAAACCAACATTTTTTTGTATACCCATACATGTCCATTTTTACCAAGTTTCAAAGTCATAAATAAAAAATAAACAAACTGCAGTCGTTAAATCATTACATTTTAGGTTTATCCAACAAAATACTACTTATTAAAATGCAGAAAGGTATTTAATAATAATTTAATTAAAAACTTTTAATTTAATTTATGGAAATAAAATTTATAAATGTTTGGTATTGAGTTCCTAATAGATAATTTTCTTACTACAGAATTTAATTTTTAAAACATTAAGGGAATGCATAACTTTAAATTTGATTTAATATTGGAATTGCAGAATCACTCTAATTTGACTAATTTTTATAGGCAATATTAAAAAACATAAATTGTAGGAAATTTTATAAAACGAAATACATAATTATTTGTATGTAAATATACGAAAATATCTGTAAATGAAATAAATTTTTATTTAAATAACTTTGTTTTAAAACATTCTATTAAAAGAATTACGATTAATTGGTATTATTTTTCGCGTATTAGTAATCTCGACTGTGACGCCGATGAAACATTAAAAAAAATGAGTTTAGAAAATTAATATTCATGTTGGCTACTGAACTCCTCACCAGTATAACCTTGCAATGTCCTTGTTAAAAACATACAATTTTTAAAATCTGAATACGCCTCTATGCAAGTACGCGCTTGCATAAAACCAACCTTATAAAAATCTTCGACGTAACGGTGCCTTACAACTTTTCTGTAAGCCTGGGGCCCTATTCTCGGCAATCGTTTTCTAAAAAACGTATACGCTTTAGCAACATGCGAACTATTCGCTATTCTCGGCATTCGTTTTAAAAGTGTGTACGTTTTTAAAACGGGTGTTTTACAGCGAGCGTTTGTGATAAAACGTGCATGTTTTCAAGGATTTAGTCAATGTCACTTATATGTCATTTTTGGATGATTAATATTATTGATTGATTTCAACAAATTTTACTTTTTATTAATACCTACAAAAATATCTTAATTTCTTATAAATATGGTTTGCAGTACTAAAAAAGTTTAATAGCTGAGAATTTCTTTCAATTAATACAATAATTAGTACAATTAGAAAACTTGGAAGATAAGAATGCTAAAAGCAGAGATTTACCTAATTTGAAGCCACTTCAAATCCTACACTTCCTTGAGAAAATAGGATTGGAAGGGTCGTTATAGGCATTGAGACATTTCCTTAGTGCATTGGCGATAGAAGGGGGCCCAATAGATCTTTTAGGTCGCACCCCATTCTCAACATAACATAAAGATTCAGACATGCAGAGGCAGAATCCATTTTTTTAATTTAATGGATATTGAATGAATATTTTTTATATTTTACCGTGTAAGAATTTAATTATTAATTCATGTATGTTTTATTTATAGATATTAATGTGCTTGCAGTTTCTTGCAAGTGGTAGTTCAAAGCTCTTCTATATCATACGTTGTATCCAGAAATTTTAACAATTTTGTAAAATTGCCACAAGATATTAAAGAACTGAAGGATATTAGCAAAGTTTTTAAGTTAATTTTGTACCATAAAAACTAGGTTTTATGACGTACGATTTTCCTAGAATTATAGGTTACATTGACAGCACCCGTATACAGGGTGTTAAAAAAAGTGTCACAAAATGAAATGGTGAATAGTATGACCCAAAATAAGCAGAAAAGTCTTAATAAATATATGACCGCAAATTAACGGTTTCGGAGTTACGGACCATTTTGTGTTTATAACAATTTTTTATTATTATAAAAAAACAATGATATTTATAAACAATCAATAACAACATAGAGTTAAATGAGATGTTCAAATACTGACGTAGCGCTTCCCTCGCATTGCCATTTGCACGACCGTACATAAAATGCATGTCAGCTAATTCAATATTAGTGTAAACAGGCATAACGAAAATTTATAAAATTATTCACCCACAACAAAATAATAACTGCAAATAGTATCTATGAAAAAACATCGGTAGACTCCGATAAGAAAAGCAAGTTTTTGAGAATGAAAAAAGATAATCAAAAAAAGATACAAAACACAAAACACTCCGTATCTCTGAAACCATTCATTTGCGGACATATGTTTATTAAGACTTTTCTGCATATTTTGGCCCATACTACCCCCCGTTTTATTTTGTAACACTTTTTTTAACACCCTGTATAGCTGTTTTTCCGCCAATGATTAACGATTTAGCACAGCTTATACAATACAGCTCCACAACTCCGTGTCGGCGTCTTTGATCTGGCGGTCGAGAACCAAGCAAGACGGAATGGTGCTATCTCTGTTAGATTCGAGGGAAAAGTCGGGCCCGGATTAAACAATTTTTTTATTATTGAAAAAATTGAAAACCTTGGCGCGTAATAAGGTTGGTTACATGCCATATAAGTAAGTTTTGGGAAATTAAATTTTTAATTTGTTTTAAATCTGAAATATAATTAAAAAAATTATTTAAATATAAATATTACGAAAAATAGCACATCTTTCGGATTAGAGGTAAAATAATTTGTATGTGGCTAGTAAAATCCTCGTTAACAAATGTTTTGAGCTAAAACAGTCACTTCACGACAAATTGTGGCTTGGATCCTTTTTACACCAAGGGCTTCAATTGTTAAAGAATTTTGTCACGCTCGTGGATGCAAATCAAGTGGTACCCCGTGTCTGGCAAGAATTACTCTTCGTGCAAAGGGTTAATACCTAGATAAACGAATGCTTCGACTGAGGTCTGGGAACTCTATGGTATTTTGGAATTATAAAGAATTTGTGCTTTTATTTTAACAATAGGTTCTTTCGTTCGTTATTGGTGTAGTGTCCACCACTGTAAATTACACCAGTTACACCACCTTATTTACCCTAATTTACTTCCTCCTTATTCCTTATACACATCGTCGAGTGTAATTCACTCCTGCTAAATAGCTGGTGGAGAAA